CCCCTCGCGGTTGCCCACACACGCCCGGTAGGGGCTCCGGCCTGCTGGTGCCGGCCTCCCGCGGGGCACCGCCACCTCAACGCTTGGTTCCTCTCTCAGAAAAAAAGGTGCGGGATGACCCGAGCCCTCATTTTGCTCAAATTATCCGAAATAAGCGAAACCACCCCCTGAAGCCCCTCCCTGATGGCTTCGGGGGCCACTAACACACCTCCACTGGCAAAGCCCCATCCTTAAAGTAGGGTGCATCGAGGAGCGGTCACCCCACAAGAAAGAAGCCATTCGGCAAAGCTGTGGTCCCCGGCACTTCGCTGGCTGCTGCTCACAAGCCGTGGACACCAGCACCTCGGTGAACAATAAGACAACCTGGGAGAGGGGTTGGGCCACCACATCTTCAGGAGGAACAGCCGTCATCTCTCTGCACCTTGCACGGCGTTTCTGCTACTTGACATGATCATAGCTGTTGCTTTCAGAGGTCCTAGCAACCCTTAATTAGACTACAAGTTCACTGCAGCCCATCATCTTCTATCCCTGTGTCCCACGGGTTTTTCTATTACCCACCAGGAAAGAAGAACCACATTCTGCTGGCACTTATGTGGATGCTTCCACATCCCATCTCATCTCACCAGACAAAGCTCACCTCATCCCTGATCTCACCTTCTCCGGGCCCCCCGGCCCTCTGCAATTCCTGACAGCCCCCTCAGCACCACGCACCCTGCGGCAGTTGTGGGTGGCACTGTGGGCCCCAGCGCCCTCAGAGAGCCCAACAGCCAGCAGCCCCACCAAAGCCCAGCTCTCTGCTGGCTCTGACTGCAGACCCCTGCTTGCTCCATCCTTGGCAGGTCTGGACAACACAACCCTACTGAGCAATAACATGGGAGCCTCCCACCCTGCCCACTGCTGCAGGACCTGCATCCTTCTTGCCTCTTTCCTGCTCTTCTGTTAGCCAGGATCACTGCCTTCTCCTTTCTCTGTCACCCCGCCTATCTGCTCCAAGGTCCCTGAGGGCCAGGGAGGTCCAAACCTCCTGCTGCTCAGGCTGCTCTGTCAGCTTCTCAGGTATTTATGAGACAGGCACGCACCAGCTCTGTTTCAAGATGCTTCCTGTGGTCCTCCATCCATTCTCATCTCCCAGTCCTTCACGTCCAGCTCAGCCTGCTTCCGAGTCCTGGTTTACACTATATCTGGGGCTTGCAGCAAAAGGGAGAGGGGGGGGCTGAGAGCAAAGCACAGCTCCTGGTACTGGGTTAAAAAACAAGACAGCCTCTCCCTTAGTCACTGCTGCTCTAGGACCTGGGAGGATCCACCTTTCTCCTCTGACCCCCGCAACACCCTGCCTTGCACTCTTTGCTCTGCCAGTCATGGTTGGAGGCCAAGTTTTTACTGGCGGCACCTCCAACGTTGAGTGTGGGCTGCTCAGCCTCACCCTCACCTCCTCCTTGAAATTCTACTGCCTACACAGTCTCAGATACGACACCACCACCTGCAACATCCTTGCCTGCTCTTGTGCTCCTCTGCTGGGATCTGCCCCCATCCTGACCACACTGTGCTGCGATGCCATTGCACAACTGTGCCTCACTTGGTTAAACGTGCCTAAGAAAACCCTCTTGATGCTCTGTGTGCATTTGAATGGGCAGATAGGAGGGTGCTTGTGGAGGGGTCCCTGCGCAAGTTGACATCTCAACACCAGCGCCGTGGGAGAGGGAGACACAGTTAAGTTTTAGTCAGTAGAGCAGGACACATGGCTCTCCCTGTACCGCTTCTCTCAGAGGTGAGAGCTGTTGCATGGAGCGAGGGCCATCCAGGCTGAGGAGGTAAAGCTGGTTGCTGGAGATCTGAACGCTGAGGCAGGGGAATGGAGAACATAAACCAGGGTTGGATTTCAGAGCAGGAGAAATGGGCATATTTGAGGAAATGGCGTTTGGGGTTTGAGGTTTAGTTTTCTGTGCGGGTATCACGCACAGAAGCAGGCAGGGATGGGTGGGAGTAAAAAAGGTGGGTACAGCGGAGGGGGAAGGGACCATAAGGAAACCCCAAGCACCATGGACCTTGGGTGCACTCCTTCCTCAGCACTGAAGAGCTCCTGTCCTGTTCCTAAGAATGCTCCTGAGTCCCAGGCTTGCTCTGGCAGTTCCTGGGCTGCCCAGAGTGACACAAGCTCTATTTGTGGACCCAAGAAATGGGCGTTGAGGAGAGGATTCCTGCACTTGGCTGAGACCCTGCTCTACTGGGCTCTGATCCCTGTCATGCCATCCCTAGAGGCGTCTCGGATGGAACAGCTGCTGGGTCAGAATTAGGAAGGATTTTTTCCTAGCCATAAGAGTCCCTCCACTGCTTTTCCTTCCAGTGAAGGAAATCCCACAAAGCAAAGATCTGGAGTAGGAGTGGGAATGACCCGTTGCCACAGTCTCCCCCTCCAACACATGCCAGCCGCAGGCTCCCTCCCCTGCAGTCCTTCAAACACACCATCACTGCTCCCAGCTGGAGGGAGGAATTACCTGTCAAAACCAGCTGGAGCTGCTTCCCTTTCTTCCAGTGTCTGGAACCTGCACCTTGGAGGCAGCCGGACATCAGGGGTGAGGAGCAGATGCTGGGCTGAGGGAACAGGTGATGTCGTCTCTTCCACTGAGGAGCCTTCCCCAGAGCAAAGAGAGAAAGAAACTCTTCCCTGTGCAGAATCCCGGAGAAACTCACCCCTTCCTGCCCACTCTAATCCCTTGAGGGAAGCAGAGAAGCAGCACAAACCAGCTGGAGAAAGACTGCAAACACCTCCAAGCTGCCAACTCAAATGATCATCCTCTCCTGCAGCTCTCGCTCTGGGTCACCCTCTCTGCCTTACGCACAGCACCAGCCTGGGGTCTCTGGGTTAAAACAAATGTTCTCCCCCATCCCACCCCCCTTGCTTTTCCCATTCCACCCCAGCCCACAACAAACATCAGCAGCTCGCTGGCCCTGCAGCCATGTAACCCAACCCCAGCCATTGTTCCCCCTTCCCCAAGGTCTATATTTGACTCTGCGGCAGCACCGTGGCTGTGAGTGTGTGTGTGTGTGTGTGTTCGCGCGTGTGTGCTCACTGCACACGCACGCTCCGATATTTGTTCAGACCCTCATTCCCCAGATGCCCGGAATTGCTTAGAAATAGCTTCCATGGGCAGTAGGTGTTTGTTCCTGCAGCGGGGAAGTGGAGGGGGTGGGTGAAAGAGAAGCAGGGAGAGGGTGAAGGTCGAAGGTGGAAAGCCTCCTGCCTCTTCCCTCCCAATTTGCACCATCTCAATGATCTGCCACTCTGTGGCCGGGTTGACAGATGACAATACATACACTCAACAGCAGGACTGGCAGCAGATCTGGGGAACAGTGGAGAAAAGGCCAAGCTGTGATCTTGATGAATCTATCCTGTGTTGCCCTGCTTTCAGTTTTGCTCTCTGGTGGCAAAAGTGCAGTTCAGCCTCCAAAAGCCCTTCAAACCTTCCTAGGTCTGGTGGCTGAGGTCACCAGAAATGGCCCTGGGGAGAGGAGTACCTAATTCCCTTAGCCTGGTGGCTCTGCAAGGGGTGCCTCAGTGTTTGAAAGCTGCCCTGGGATTCACCCTCTGTTTCAGTACTGCATGAAGGGTAGCCACCCTGGGCTACCCCAGGATGTATTTTGTGTTTTCCCAAAGCCTCCAGGAATGCTGCCCAAGCCCAGTGTCACATTCCCTGCAACCCTGGAGTCCCCGGGAACACTGCCTAGGCTCGGCATGAGCCTCTTTTATTTTCATCCTTTGTGGTCTGCCAGGACACACGGCAAAATCAGAAATATGTGCAGTCAAAATGAATGACAGGAAGGATCGCCTTTATCCTAAACACTGATGATACGGTGAACTCATTGCCACTGAGGAACAAGAAAAGGCATTAATTTAAATAATGACCAGACATTTATATAGGTAGTGAGAATAAATAGGAGTGAACTCCAAAGAGCTGTAAACCCTCTTGCTCCAGGGCACTGAAGATGAACTCCAGGCCATGGAGTAAGGAGCAGCTTTCCATGAGGGCAGGTTCTTCAGTAATTTTGCATAGAGAAATGCTTGAACCTTCCCCTGAGCCATGCGGACCTGGACCTGGGAGAGGAAGGAAGCTGGGCGTGAGGGGGCACCATCCATCCATACCCACTGCGTTCACTGGGTAGTCAGCACACATTTCCCATCACCAAGGCCAGGGGGGGATGGACTGTATGGATGCTTTGGTAGTGCCTGTGAGATGTCCTGGAGAGGTGATTCCTGTGTATTCAGAGCCAAATGTCAGCATCTGTCCAAGCTTCTGACTGCCAGCTTGCTGCTCCTACACTCCAAGACAGCTACGGGGAGTACCTCATCATCAGGGCTGCTGCTTCCTGGTGGGGTGCCTGTCTCCTGCACTGGACTCCAGGCAGCTGCTCTGTTGGGACTAGTTAAAGTCTGACTGCCTGGTGAGCTGCTCCACTAAAACAGATCCTCTGAGTGTAGGAGAGTGCATATGTCATTGTGTCAACCTGAGTTCAGTACCTGGCAGCCTCCAAACCTGCTGTGAGGAGCTGCAAAAGTAAGCTTAAGTCACATGTTATTTTGAGATACAGATTCCCTGAGCCCACTTTCAGTACTTCTATCCAAAAGAGGACAGAGACACGAGAGGGGGAAAAAAATAAAAGGTGCAATACTGGAGGCAAAAGGAGTTAGACTTGAAGGGGGAGGGAAAGAGACAGAGGTATAGATGGAGGGTGGCTAGAGAAAAGATATTTTACCTTGCACCCCCACAGCTCAAAAGACTGAGTCATCCCCCTTCAAAAAAACCCCCATGAGTTCATTGAGAAGGTGGAGAATCTTGTTTTGCCCTGTGATTTCTGGCTTCCCTCTGTATGCGGGTGTGACAGCTAATGTCAGGGCTCTCCCAAGGGCACAGATTTCAGGGGGTGTACCCCTTTCCCCCACCTGCCTCCCACTGCCAGGAGGAGGTCTGGAAGGACCAGAGAGGGAAGGAGATGTCTGCCAGGCTTTCCCTTTGCTGGCACACAGCCACAGGTATCTCGAAGCCCACTTCCAGCCATGCCCTCTCCCTTTTCCTTTCCAGCTGGCAGCTCAAGCAATGAAACCTCTTAATCTCACCGGGAACGTGCAAGCATTTAACGGGAGTCTCTTGAAGCAAATGTTTTGAGCTTCCTCAGTGCTTGCCTCTGATCTTGCTTCTGGATGTTTACAGAGGTTGGCATATCTTGGCGTTTGCAGTGAAATCTGGCAGGAGACCCTGTTGCAGTGAATTTCAAGGTCATTTTACAAAATTACGTCCTGTGCTTAGAAAGGCTTGAATCCTGGGTGCAGAAGAGAGGAGTCCGTAATTAGCAGCCCCAGGGGATGTGGACGAGTGCTGGAGGGGAGGCTAATTGCAGACTGACTGGCTCCTTGGCCTTCAGTAGTTCACATGAAGCAGGGAAGCAGTGTGCTCAGCCAAGCACCAAGCGTGTCCTAGGGAAAGGTAATTCCTTCCTGGCCTGCCTGGACCCATCCCTATAAACAACAAGAGCTGCATGGGGAGAGTAGTGCTTCAGATTTCACACACACACACACACACACACACAAAAGAGGTCTCTGTGAGCTGGAGACGTGTGCTAGGCATGCAGAAGGGCTCCTTGGGAGATGACACGCAGCCACGTGCCTCTACCTGAAAGAGCCTGTGAGTCCCTGCTCTGCCCTCAGAGGGATTGGGGGATCATCTCCTTTCCCCCCATTTGTGTGCCCTGGTGAAGTGCTGTCCCCAAGACCTCAGCATGCAGTGTCCTCACCTTGCATGCAGGTGAGCGCTCTGCCCCACAGCTGGAAAAAGCCCTGTCTGCCTGCACACACCAGCAAGAGCCAGCGTCACGCCTAACCCCTCCGCCACTTCCCCATGTGCTCTGGTGAGACAGCCTCCCCCTTCCTCTCCACATACTTTTAACTCAGCTCATTTCAAACACTTTATTAGCATGACAAGCTAAACAAGTTTTGACAAAAGGGAAGGAAGGCAGAGCCCCTCGAGTCTCGGTGTGAGGCTGACACTGTGACTCCAGCCTTTGCTTCCCGTAGAGTTTTGCCTTGCATTGGGGAAGCCATCCTGCCCATCGGGCAGATATGCCATTTCTCTCCACTCCTTCACCAGGCTCAGTCGCTGGCATGAGAGGGCAACTACCCTTCAGTCTCTGTTGCACAGCAGCACCCATACTGGATTTAGCACCCGTTGGGGCAAAGGCTTTACAGGGAGCGTTGGCAGGGCTCGGGTGAGGCTGCTGGGAGGAGAAACTGTGCAGTGCTGGGGCAGCTCCTTCTGCAGGGAGCTCCCCGCACGGAGCAGTAGTAACCATGGCATGGGTCCCAGCTGGGAACTCTTTTTCTGACAGAATACCCTGTACAAGGTCACAGCCCAGTACCTGGTCCCTTGGAGAGCCATGGTGCCATGCAGACTGAGTTGGAAGCACCTCTGCAGGGCTCGGTGCAAGAGCTGGGATCGGTTCACTGGACAAAGTACGGCATGGAGCCAACGGATAGAAGAGAGATGAGGATGAGGGGGATGCCACAATCAAATACTTGAGGCCGTAAGACCCTGATTTCTGCTGCTTGCCCCCAGGAATGATGCAGCTGAAGAAAAGTGAGGGCAAAAGAGTGCAAATCCACTGCTGCCATGCTGTGCGCTCCCTGCTCCACTATGAAAGACTGCACTAGGGATGAGGCAAGAGGAAGCTGTTTTATGGCTGTTTTATGGCTAGTTAGAAATGGCCAGTAGGGGTCACCGATATCTATTTATTCTGTTTTTTTACATATGCATTTATAATTATAAAAAACACGCATAGGTGGCAATTGTAATGGGGAAATATTGACGTGCAATGTATTCATCAAGCATACAGGTTGGGGGAAAGCGCCCCTAAGTATGTCTGAAATACCACTGTGAGCTGTGCATCCCTCTCTGCTCAAACCCTATGATGGCATGAAATCATGGAGCCATGCCAAGCACCACGGTACTGCAACGGTGGGTTTCTGTCATTGGTCTCCAGTTCTGCCTTTGTCCTCCATCACGTATTGGCAGAGATGCTTTGAAAGAGATTCCAGAGGTTCAGAGATTCAAACCTTGGGGGCAGGATATTGTGTCTGCTTGTCTTTCTGTGCAGTGCCCAGCACAATTACATCCCAAACATGATGGGTACCTTTAGGCAGTCCCCTAAGACAAACAGCATTTTGAGTGGGGATGGGTCAGCACAGTTCTGTTCTTCAGCTGCTGTTGCTGGAGACCCTGACAGCTTAGTGCTTGCCTGTGATAAAACTCCAGGATTTTTCTCAGGGTTGCATCTTCATGTAAAGATTGAGCCCCAACCCTCATTCTTATGTAGTGGGATGGACTGAATTATACATGTGGGTGTTGTTAGCAACTGTTTTACTGGTGGGTTGTATTTTTCTGGTAGGTGCATGCTCCAGGCATACTGGCAGGATGTGTTTGGCTGTCCAATTCTGCATCCACAGACTTGTTTGGCTGTCCCAGACTGCCTGTGCTTCCCTGATCTTATTGTTCCTGAGATGCTGTTGGTTTTGGGTGCTGAGCTCCTCTTGTACTGGCATATCCCAGAGTGCAATCTCTGCTCAAAATATGTCTCCGATTTTTTGGTTTTGGTGGGCTCAGCCCATCCATGAAACCTTTTCTGCCTCTGAGGGTTTCCCAGCTGAGGTCTACTGGGGAATCCTCTGTGCAGCTGGAGTCAGAGAGGTAGTGGAGGAGGCATGTGTTTCCTAAGAGTCCCTTCAGGACTGCAGCATCCAAGCTGGAGGGGATGTGACTTCATGCAACTCTCAGGCGGGTGACAGCCTCTGAGCCAGC